GTCAAATGTCCACAGATATCTCATTCGATGTCACCAAACAACCAAAAAACACATATATATCGACGATGTTTTTGCAAAACCGCCTAAATCGCCATTGTGAAAAAATTAGATTTGGTAACCTTGAACTCCAGGCATCGGGATTTATGAATAAAAATCGTAAAATCGGTATTAAAACAACAGATTTGTAAAATAATAGCTAGAGAATATATCGCCTGTCAAGGCAATGCCTTCAAAGAAAACCCGTTTTTTCGCTCTGCTGTAAAATTGAGTGCCGTAAGATAGGTGGTTTTGCAAAAACAACGACGATATGTATGTTTGTACATACCCTGCCAGCAGAGGAACGGATATTTTGCAAACAGCACTCTCATACAATTTTCCGTATCCTGAATCCCACAGAAAACGTCTACGATTTTCGTTCATTTACGTATCCAAGAACGTCCAAAAAACAACACGCGTTTTCGTTTCCGGAAACGAATAGAAAACGACTGAAATTATCATCCGGAAAACATTTGAATAATATGATTGAAAGCAATATTTTTATTGTATTTATTCAAGCTGAACATTTGAAAGCCCTCCAAAAATTTAAGCACCACAGCAGGTCGTTTCAAAGTATAAATGTACAAAAGGACCAGACTAGTAACTTGTTATGCAAGTCTGGACAACGTCAAATTTACAAAATAAAACCTAAACATGTGCTGAACACCACCCCTTCATGGTTCCTCGGCATTTTATTCGGTTGCCTAATGACATTAGTAAAGCCAAATTCAAGGTGGTGAGGCTCAATAGCATCGCAACGTTAATGTTAACAGCCCTTGGCCGGCTAGAACTCGAGTCATTCCGATACATTGAACCGGCTGTCGTGGGAATGCTGCAGCAGGCTAAGCTCCTGCATGAGTAGGATAAATGCAGATGTGCCCAATTAATACCCGGCATGCGAAGAGTCACCTCGCAACACCACTTTGTATGTCCCCTTAACGTCACTCAACTAACGCCCCTATACTAATGGACCAAACCAGTTGGAGGAACACACTTCTTGGGTCTCCCATTAGTTGAGCTTGAACACAACGATTGAGGGGGACAGGGCTATGGACACGAATTTCGATACGATACGATACCATATCGATATTTTTGCCATTCGATACCGATATTTTTTATTGGATAGTTTTCTAACGATATTTTTTGGAATAAAGTACCAGGACCCCTGTATCGTATCGAATCGAAAATGTACGTTACAAAGTTAATGTGATTACGGTAATAATATTTGTATACATTTTTTTTTAAGTGATATTTTGAATATTTAAGGTGTTGTTAATTAACACACCTATGAGGCCAATAGTCTTTACAAGAAATCTGAGATACTTCGCCGACCTAAACGGGGTTAGATCGCCGAAACAACAGCCCTTGGTCGGGTAAAACCCGAGTCATTCCGGTACGTAGAACCGGCTGTCGTGGGAATGACTCTAGACCTGTGAATGCCTTTCTAGGCATACCGGCCCCGGACACAGACGAGACGGAGCTTCATCTGCCTCAGGAGACACGAACGACACTAGCACAACTTCGCTCCGGCTACTGCAGCAGGTTAAACTCCTATCTGAGTAGATTGAATGAGGATGTGCCAAATGAGTGTCCGGCATGCGGAGAGACCCCACATGACTCGAAACATCTCTTCACATGCCCGGAAAACCCGACAACCCTAACGGCCTTGTCCCTGTGGACAAACCCCACAGAAGCTGCACGCTTCCTAGGGCTGCCATTAGTGGAACTTGACGACAACGACTGAGATACCAACCGTCCTGGGCGGGGTTGTTGTAGCCGCTACAATAACAACAACAACAACAAGAAATCTGACTGGCAAATGATCGGTCGCCTGACGGCCAGTACTGATGCAATAAAGCTGCAATTTCCTCATAAGAAATTCGGGGGTAATATGAAAAACCTGACCAGTTCTTTTGTGTACATGTGACTATGGGAAAAGTTATCTTTTCTACTTATTGTATTTCCTAAGGTTATATTCCAGTGTAATTAAAATTCAACGCGCTTTCAAAATATATTTTAACAAAAAGTTTAAATTGCAGCTAGTGACTTTTCAATTGGGCTTTAACCAACAAGGGTTAAATTATCGGTAATCCAACATGAACATGGCTAACCCAACGCATCTGGCAACGACTCCCGCACTCATTTGTCAAATTCACCATTGTGCTTTTGGATGACAGTTGTTTTGTTGTGTTTTTCTTTTCCTCCAGAAAAGTGAAGAGCGCTGGGGCAAAAATTTGGAAAACGAAAATTTAATTTCACTTTCACTACGTTAAACAACTATTTCCGTTTTGTAGCGAAGCAGATACCGCCTATCGGGTGAAGTCGAACACTCAAAATAAGATCTAGCTGAGAGGTGCTGGTGCGTGAAGTAGTAATGTCCAGACGGCCAATAACTCTTCCAATAATTACCACCAGTTCGATGTACTGCTACGCATGTAAATAGCAAAAGGGCATAAAGAGGAATTGTTAAAATAATAAGTACTCTGGGAGTGATTAAGTACATGAATTGGGAAATAGCCAGTCAAAGTTGAGAAGCGAATGTACAAAGTGTGCTTATCTGTAGG